TAATCTCCCTCACAACAATTGTGATATTTGAAATATGTATTGTCAAATCAAATTCAAAGTACAAATAATCTTTTCTTTTAATACTTAAAGAAACATCTGTAAAAGTAACATTTATATGATATGTATATACTGTTATGTTTTGTAACGAGAGGGCTTATATAGGCTATGCCTGTTGCCCAATTCCTTTTGTACATCAGATCAGTACAATAAAATATTCTGAAATGAAAAAAAAAATGTTGGGATGACCTGAAATCTAGAATAGAATGCGATGATAAGTCCGGTGTTTTGGACTATTTTGTGCGAAATTGTGATGAAATGAGATCGATTGAATTTATTGTGATTGAATTTTATAATTCTTAATACTGAGGTAAGTCAGTAATATCGTCTGCAGCTAGTTTTGACTAGAATCTAGCTTATTGTTAATTGTATGGTTTGTTAAGTAATAGCTGTTTAAACATAAAGTATAGAGGTCAACTGTACTGGAGCCCTATTATCTAGATAGATCTGCCTGCATTATTTGATTCGGGGGTACTCCATGGTCATTCAACTTCTGTACTGCTAGTCGTTCTGCCGGCGTAGCAGTCGATCTAGATTTTGGCCCCGTCAGACCTGAAAGTTATATTCATTACAGGCAACTGCCAACTTGTGCTTCAAACTGACTGAATCGTGGAATTTGAATCGATGTATTGACCAATTTCAAATATTTTTAGACCTATTTTTATGTAAATTATGGGTTAAATGCCTATATTACTTTACAGTAGAGTAATATGTTGTACATTTGTGCATACCTGCATTTTTCTCCATAGTCGATATGATTTTTCCCAGTTTGTTTACGCGGACTGGTTGTCCTTTATACCACCTCCGGGATTTTGACATGTTGGTGTTGGCGGATATATAAAACGTCTAAGCAATATTTCACTGGCCGGTGTTGTTTGTACAGGGTGTAGGCGACCACGGGACAGCAGGAGATGTTTTCGGGAGTAGACCATACTCGTGGGGGTAGTGCCCTAACATCTCTTGGGTTGGCACCTGGTCTGGTTTTGGTTAAGTGTTCATTGTATTGCAAATAATTGTCATTTCCATAGTCATTACACACGACCACAACACCCCATTTCCTTTCGTGATCTTCTGTAATGCTCCGCATTCCGAAATGTATGGTGTTGTTGAACCAGATGGTTCGTAAGAGGGATTCATGATTGTCATTACTCAATGGTTTTGTTTCGTCTAATTTGATGACTTTTTGAAATTGTTTACTTGTTGAATTTTTAAAGCCGTAATCATTACATTCCAGGTGCCTGTCACCACTACGTTAAGTTCTCCTAATAATACTAGGTTATAGATCTGTTTCATCCTTTCCTTTCACATTCATGAAAAATTACAAAAATACGTTTGCATAGTTCCTGAGGTGGTATTTGTAATGATTGGCCGTGACTCCTTCAGGTTTTGGCAGAGAAATTCTGACAGTTTGTCCATGTCAGATTCTGTCATTTTCTGTGTGTCCTGATCTGTTCATCTATAATGAATTTATCTATACCGATGTTTCGTCAACGAAACCTGGTAGATTGATTGGCGTTTTTGATGGGGGGAAATCAAGGTTATCTGATATGTTTTCAGCCAATAAAAATGCTTGTTAATCAACCTGAAGTGCAGAAAATCAATCGTCTGAACAATAGTAGTAGAAATAAGAAATAACCACCACCTATGGTGTATAATGTAGGAATGTGCTTTGAAGGTGACAATATATCAGGGAAAAGTTATTAATAAACATTTTCCAATCAGGCAATGTTTTATATAAAAAAGACGAAAGACGAAATAAAAATGGTTCACAAAATATTAATTTACAAGAGCTAAAATGGTGTTTATCATTGCACTTTTGCATTTTATATAAAATCATTTCTAGCCCAATTAATTTGATCACCTGTTGATGCAGAACCTGTCTATATGATTGAAGCAATGTTCAATCAATGTGTCCATAAGACAATAATTTCTATGACAGGCAATCACAAATAGATATGTTCATCTGACGTCTTAAATTGTTTAAGAAAATTGCGAGTATTGGTAAATGACATGAAGATTTTAGCCCGATTGGAATTCGCTAATCTCGCAACAACAGGGTGCAAGATAAACTCATTTGCGGTATTGTTTTAATTCCTTACATTCCAATGATTTTATATGCGTTTGCTTTTATTTTCCGGAAATCATTACTCATCATTACATTGTATGCCCGTTTTAATATGAGATTTGCATCGTAAAAACTTAAATAGAAAATCAAACACGGAAAACACAACACCGAAGACAACATACATGTACATGAACAAAAGCACAAGGTGGAAAATGTTTGAAACTCAACTCTTGTTTCGATTCATCGATTTGATCAGTCAGTAGATAATAAGCAATAACGTCGAGCCAAAACAAGAGTTGTGGCTTCTGAAGTTATAAAACGTCTTGCAAGATGAAAGTGTGACACTCACATGTTATTGCAACTCAACTTTGATAATTCATACAGTATTACATTGATTAAATATATGAGTGTGTGCGTGTGTTTGTTTATTCTTACAGTGGGAAAGGTTCCTGTAATGACAGCAGTATATAGTTGGGAGTCTCTAGAGGAGAAGTTTCATAACGTTGAGATGGGAGGTCGGTACCGCCCCACCCACTGTACAGCCCGTCACAGGGTGGCAATAGTGGTACCCTTCCGGGACCGTGAGATACACCTGAAAATCTTGCTCAACAACCTCCATCCATTCCTACAAAATCAGCAGCTTGACTACGCCATCTTTATTGTTGATCTGGTAAGCAAATATTTAGAAATGTTCTTTCATATAAAAAACAACAAAATAATATGATACCAAACTGTTTTTATAATCCTTCCAAAAAGAAGTTAACCTAAGTTGAAACAATTTTTTGATGATGTTATTATTGACTTATGATCAAGGCAGTGTTTCAGAGGAAAAAATTAAACCTTTTTCTTTACAACTAGGTAAATTGTCATAGTAATCCAGAGGTGCCACAATTTAGTAACGTTTGCTGCGAGAGTAGAAAGGTAAACTATCCGCAAGGTTGTAAATGGCAAATTATACTAATAATCAAAATATTTTATAAATTGGTAAAATTATAGCTCAAAATATCATATTGTTTATCAGTTTGTATGTACAGTAAAAATAAATATGGCCCTAAAACTGACCCCTGTGGTACCCCGCCTTTAACGTTTTCCTGTATCACATATAATATCTGACTACTGTTCCCAACATTACTTTCTATGACTGATTTTGTTTTATTTTAGATGCCGGAAGTAACCTTTAACAGAGCCATGCTACTTAACATTGGTTTCACAGAGGCCCTTAAACAGTATGATTACCAGTGTTTTATTTTCCATGATGTGGATCTTATACCTGAGATGGGACATAACATGTACAGCTGTCCAGAGAACCCGCGTCATATGTCAGTTGCTATAGACACAATGAATTATAGGTAAGTCTTATATACGCTCATTTAAATGAATCGGGTTATTGTTACCAATGAACTGGGAAAAAAAATGTTGAAATAAGTAGAAAAAAATATATCACGATTACAATACACAAGGACAAACTCAGAAGTCTGCATGACAAAAAATGTGATATACGAGACATCACAATAATGGGAAGATTTTTTATCCGCCACTTAAATCATTTTCATATGACTACCGCCAGGAATCAAAATAGCAGTCATGCATATAACGATACAAAGTATACACGGTGCTATCCCTTTCCTCGTAAAACTACTATTCTTTCAATTCAGATCCTCTGTGAGCAGGTATTGGAAATAATTGTAGTTCCTATCAAAATCGTGTATCAAGACCAATTTGTACCAAAATAGTCTGTTAGGAACGTCCAAGACATCATCTTAAAACAAAACTGCCAGTGCCTTCCATAACGTCTTGTACTCAATGATCTTATGAAAAAGCACGTACAGATTTCCTGTTTTTGTTTGGAATATATAAGTTGTGGGATTAACACATCTCGGTGCATTGTTACTTTGTACTTGTAACTTTATAACTTTCTAAGTATATAGAATAATAACTGTTTGGTACAAAATATAGCTAGTATATCTGTACATTGTGAGTTATAGTTTGGTTTTAAAGGCATACCTAGCTACATCCAAACGACTCCAAATTGAGTTTTATGTAACGTACTCTGCATAGCAGAGACAGACATAATAACGTATACATACATAAGTTTATGAGCTGTAATATAATAACCAGAAACGGAATGTCCTTTTTCAACAGATTGCCGTACAACAATATATTTGGAGGCGTGGTAGCCATGACAAAGGAGCAGTTTCAGCAGGTCAATGGATTCTCCAACAAGTACTTCGGATGGGGTGGGGAAGACGATGACATGTTTAACAGGTATTTTAGTTAAGAAGTAGAACGCATTTTTGTTTTACGCCTTTCATTTTGTATGTATGTAATTATTTAAATGCTACATATCTGTCGTTTTTAAGACTGCTCCTAATACAGCAGACTGTCGACCTAGCGTGCATTGTTTAGGTACGAGGAAACACCTTTTAAAACAGTTAGTCGGTCGCTGAAGAATAACGGAATTATAAAATATTTAACTCAACTGTGTTGTTTGTTATAATACATGATGGTTTTATTTGTCGTCTTGCCAGGTTTGTAGATTATATCTTAAACTCATTTGAATGAATGTGTTCACCTGTTTTGGAATCGTAATTATAAAACAATTCTAATGATCAAAACAGATTCAACTGGAGAGTACATTATGATATATTATTTTTTATATCTTGTAAGTACACCTTTCTTTAACTTGTTGTTTACAATTGGAAGAATCGCAGAGCGTTATGAAAGATGACATGAGCAGATACAATATACCTAATGAAAAAGTATGACAATAATTATTGCATGTCTACGGCGCTGGTTTTATATATTTTTGCATAAAGTGACGGAATGTAATTCAAAGTTCATGTTCACAGCTCTGGTTTCATTTAGATTTGATATTCTGTTACAGAATACGACATAACAACATGTCTATAACGAGATACCCTGTCGACGTCTCCCGCTATAAAATGTTGTCTCATAGAAAAGAACTCGGAAATCCAGACAGGTGAGTATTATATATGTTTAATCATCAATACTATCAGGAAAAGACTGCAAAAGTGTTAATCTTCCCAAATATAAGTTAACTATTCAAATACGGCATAGTCAATATCAACTGAAGCCCATCTATGTTATGTTTTACATTTGAAATTAAGTTAAAATTGCTGTATGTAGATAGGTAAAGTTTACAATTTCCGTTTCCCTCTGACGATAATATATTGATCACGTCGATTTTTTGTTGTTGCCTTGTATTTTGTTTTGGCCCTGTTTCATAAATAGAAATGTAAAATTCCATAGATGTATTCAATATTGGAGTAAAATAGATTTTCCCTGTTATTTATAATCAAATAATAATATTTTGTTCAATATCAAGTTTTTCACTATTTCTGCAATTTTGCGAAATACAAGGGAATATTAATTCTATTTTTCAAAACGAGTCATATAAACAAAACAAAAATTCTGACATTGACCCAGAATTATTTTTTAAAAATGTTAAAAACGTTATATTTCAGATTTTTTTGTTTCAATCGCTCTAGCATTTTTTTCGATTTTCGAAGAATTTATGAGCATATATAAGTAGTATTATATAATCCAAATATATTCGCTGCTATACGTATGATTTCGACATGTCCTGTATCCAAACAAAATAATGTTTATGACCACAATACAGTTATACATACCAATATGCGATTTTGAAGCTCATTAATACACATTCTAACACGATTCGTTTGCAACGCGTGTTTTGATTGGATACGGACCATGTTCTAATCTACGATATAATCATGATCAATCGTGTTAAGCTCTTAAGCCACGCCCCGTTTCTAGCAAAAACAATATGGCGTCAAGCTCGCCTCTTACCGAAACCCCGCTGATAAGGCTAGCTAGTAGGCAACAGAACAAAACAACCGATAAAATGCATTTGTTGAATGAATTCAAAAGTAAAAAGTACACATTCCTTGTTCTTACCTCCATTTATTACTGAAACGTTCGTTCCATCCGTGTGAAGGCATCTATTTAGATCCGAAATCAAATGAAACATTTCACATGTGTCGTATGCATTTATACAAAACTATACAAATGATCATCGATTTTCCGATTTTGTCGATAAGCAAAGATTGGTATGCATACTGACATGGAAATATAAGAACTTGGTCAATACTAATCCAAATGTGACGCATAAACTTTGGTAACAGGACGTTCACAAACAATCCAAACAATCTCTCGCCAGTATGGGCGGGGCCAAATGACCGATTTTAAAGGTCCTTTCCGATTGGTCAGTCCGTTGCAGAATGACACGTCGCCAGTTCAGGTCACAAAGTATTTTACTCCGTACTTTTGTACAAGGAAATACAATGTTTCTAAACATATAAGCGTAGTATATTTGCTAAGGCGTGTTAGAATGGGGATAGTACGTTGTTTTTCGTGTCTATACTGGCGATTAGAACATGAAACTTGGTTTAAACTCTCGACCAATAACACGACCCGAAATATTGAATATTTCGTGTTGCATTTATATAATTTTCATCATAATGGTGAAACTTTGTGAGGGAGAATGATCGTCGTAGCTTAATTGTGGCATTTCACCTAGCGTAATGAGGACAAATTCATCATAAAAGCTTGTATAAGTTACATATTAAATCGCACAGTATTATTAATATAAATTGCAAAATTAACACTTTAAGAATGCAAGGAGAATGCAAGGAAATATTAATATTTTACTGTGCGAAACTTTCCTGGTATACAATAAGGAAAACAAACACAACAAAATGCCGGCACCAATATTGTGCAGTGAACAGCGTTTTAGATAAATTAAAATTAATCGAAAACTACTCATAAAAATATATATCAGATAAGATAATATACATAATTGCTAAAATGAACATCATATCGTGGATATAATTTCTTTGTGATTGTGTGAATCCTTATATATTGATTTATTTTGCAGATTTCGTTTATTACAAGGCTCTAAAAAGCGATTGCAAAAGGACGGACTAAACAGCCTTAAATACTCGCGACAGAAGCTCGAACTTCGAAAATTATACACGTATCTGTTGGTAGATATTGACGAGGTGTATATTATGAGCAATGGTTTGTACAACCGGAGTCATCATCAGCAATACCAACATAAGTTACAGCAACAGTTCCAGGAGCAACAGGTCGACATATAACGCGTTGACAGAAGCAACCAAGGAACACAACAAAATCAACAACTGAAGAAAGAAATACAACAAAATCAACAAACAAACAAAACAAGAACAATGTAACGAAACGAGGTTTATGAATAATTAAATGTACAGTTGTACCACTGACAAGTATTACACATGTATATACTATCACAGACAGGAATAACACATATATATACTATCACAGAAAAGTAATACATATGTATATACTACCACATACATGTATTGCACACGTATATACTACCACATACATGTATTACACATGTATATACTATCACAGACAGGCATAACACATGTACGTACCATCACAGACAGGTTTTACACATGTATATATTATCACAGAAAAGTAATACATATGTATATACTACCACATACATGTATTGCACATGTTTATACTACCACGCACATGTATTACACATGTATATACTATCACAGACAGGAATAACACATGTATGTACTATCACAGTCAGGTATTACACATGTATATACTACCACATACATGTATTACACATGTATACACCATCACAGGTATTACACATGTATATATACTACCACAAACAGGTATAACACATGCATATTTATATACATTATACAATAATTGTCCATTACATTTACCTGATACATATGTGTTGTACATACATTTATATATACATATACATCACTATACAGGCAGTGGAAGATTCATGTATCACTTTTGACAGTAAGACAGGTAATAATACTTGATTGCCTAACACTGTATATATGGACAGGTATTATGACACATGCAACACTCTTTAAACAGGTGAAACAGAAAATGGTATAGGTATTATTTTAATTTCAATGAGAGGGTGAAGATATATCAGGGCTTTAACAATACCTAATAGTGCTTTACCTGTAATTGAGAAATACACATTTTTTTATTGTTTTGTTACATGCATTATTTTGTTAAACGAATAGGTATATATCATATATATTATAGACCATTTAATATTGCTAAATGTGCATCAAACAAATAATATGCTGGGGGTGCTGGATCTTGATCTTTTAGGGCAGACATAGAGATTTTACACAAATCTACACAACTATAAATTATCTAGTGATATTCAAGACTTGAAAGAACCAATCTGATGATGAAATGTGTATCACTTGTCTATAATACATATAATATACCTTTTGTCTGTGATAGTAAATATATGTTTATAAACAATAGATAAAAGTTCCTTATAATTTATATGATAGTTAAGATAAGTAATATGTGTATAACAAGTCTTAAACAAAAGAAATTCATGTTTTATAATAACCTATCTGTGAATAAAAAAGATAACTTTATAACCGGTCTGAAACTATCAATATTTTGTTCTTACATGTCTTTGATAGTTAACACAAATTTATGACCAGCCTGAAACAATAATTAAAAATTGATAACCTGCTTGTGATAGTAATACAAATGTTATAGCCAGTCTGATACAAGTTATAAGTTTTCCTAACATGTCAGCTTAAATAATAAATATAATTAAATCCACATGTTTTATCAGTTTTAAACAATATGTTATGTTTCTGTTACTTTTTGTGAAAGTTAACACACATTCATAACTAGTCTAATGCGGCGTTCACACAGTGCTGATTATGGCTTCCATTTGAGATCAGATATCGCTACGACACGAAAAGCGAAAACGTCGGATTTCTTTCCTCAGTGATCTGGAATGTCCTATCATTGTCTGAACGCAGTCGTATAGGTTCGTAACAGAGTCCTACCGATCGGGAATGGTCCGGAGAGGTCGGCCAAGCACTCCCGCCAGTTAGGTGCGTCCCGTAACGTTCGAGAAACTCAGCCCCGATTTTGTCTAGTCGGATTACAATCGTGACTATGTCGTGACAGATTCTGCTGTATCGGATCAAAATCGAAACAATATCCAGTGTTGTCTGGACGGTGTCTTGACGGTGTCGTGTGGATCGGGACGCTGTCGTGATGAACGGGCAAGATTTGGAGACATTTTTCATTGCCTTTTTTTGCCTAATACGTCCAGATTGGGTCCAGATCTTGCCGAATGCGTCGGTTCACTGTCCAGTCACTGTCGGATCTCTGTCGGATCGCGTTCGGGAGAATCGGGACGCTGTGGGAGAGATTCGGTCGTTTTTTACCGGAAGATACAAATCGGATCAGATTCGTCTGGAAACGGCTGAATCGGGACGCTTCCTGAACAATATCTGATTGTTGTCGCGATTAAATAAATGTTTTCACAATTTGTGAATTTTCCGCCACGAATCACAGGATCTTGATCAGACTTTTGACAAATTTTAATCGGGAGCGGTCCTATCAATCCGAAAAATTTTGAATGTGTGACTGAGGCTTAAAGCGATAATTAAAATTTCATAACCTGTCTAATAATAAATAGGTGTATTAATTCAATTTTATTAAGTTACGGGAAACTAAAGGAAATCAGGGAAGACAATAAAGATATAAACATTTAATGACTTAACAGTAAGTTATACATACAGGACCTATTTTCCTTCCGTTGTGAAATACAAAGGAATAACCCTTTCTCAACCACTTACCCCTATATATCTCCTATTTCTTTTTTAAATAATGTAAATCCCGCTAAATCTAGGCGTATATTTGGTGACACTGAACTTCTACTTGCACTTTCACATACTCCATTTCCGGTTAAAAAATAATACGCAACTGAGGCTTCCGATTAGGCAAAGCTCGCCGTGCACAGCTGTCCTTTGCCGCATTCGTTATTTTCATCAATAATGTTTATTTGGAATTTCTCTAGCGACGTCTTATGCTATTTTTAGAGTAGAGGTTTGTATTTTTATTTACATTTAACTACGGTCGAGGTCGTACGTTAGACTTACGAAACACAGTACTCATAGATGGTCTGTTATTGTGATAGTCAGTTGTTTTAGACTATGAGGAGAGTGTACTCCATTAGAAACTTCTATAGTGCCATATTAGTTCGTAATAAGCAATGTAACTGAACATAAATTGTACATATATTTATTCTTTGAAATATCATCTGGCTGTCATTGTGGTTGCTATGTAAATACTTATTAAACAGACTTAGTTAACTTTACATTTGGTGTTGTCAATTATGTCACTGAGTGGTTACTAAATAAATATAAGCCTTGTAACCAGAGGCTGGAGAGTGCACCTCACTGACCAGAGGTTTTTGACTAATAATAGATTTGCAACCAAAGGTAATAGAGGGCACCTGGCGTACCGGAGGGCTCACCAAAAATACACTTTACGACCACGTTACATTGGTGGCAGCGTTGGGATACAAGTGAAATCCGGTGAGCCTAAAGAATCACTCCGTGACAGTGACAAAATTTGAGAATTTGTAGAGTTGGAGTTAAATGTACAAAATGCCAAGAGGTACAAAGAAGCGTAGGTCACAGACAGTCGCTAGGTAAGATAGGGACACAGATAAGAATGCAGGTCAGAAACAGACAAAAAGGGTAGTAGAGATCAGTGGGAATGATTTGGTGGATGTTGAAGAAAGAAATATAGAGGTAGATGAGAGGAGGAAGAGACAAAAAGCCTATAAGATATAGGGATGAACATGACAATGAGGTTATAGGAGAACTTATACAAACCCCTGAGAACAATGACTAAAATCAGAGTGACCATAACAAGTAATGACCCTCCGGTAACCGTGACCATGTTTTTAAACCTTCAGAAAGAGATGGGAACTATGCTCTCAAATATAATTGACAGACCCGATCGATTAGAAGTACCAAACGAACCAGGTGAGATAGAAGATGGGGAGGTTGAAAATAGACTGAACCAGGGTGAACCGAGTAAGGGAAGTAGACATGACAAGTCTACAAGGTTGATTTTAGACCAACAGAGTAGGCCAGAGTACCAGGAGGATACAGAGGGGAAAATATATGACCAATCTATAAGGATGACAAGAGACCAACCTAGTAGACCGATGTACCAAGAGGATCAGAATGTTACCCAGAGTTATGATGGAAAGCCTAACTGGACATACCATAGGGCTGATTTTGTAGACCATTTATACCAAAGTAAAACACATGACCAGTGTTATGGAGCAACAGGGAGAGAGATGTGTGTAAGACCTTCATTACTTAATGGAGAGCTTAATCCTTACCAGTACCAAAGCAATACCAGTCAAACAAGGGACAGACCCCCATGTTCTAAACCTGAAAGCTATGATTGAAAGACAAGTTGGACAAAATACCTGACCTGTTTTAACCTGTTGGCTACCATAAATCACTGGACCACAGAAGTAAAAGCATTGCAATTAACCTCATGTTTGACTGGAGCAGATTGCAGCATATTGGGAGATCAGAAAACAGAAGAGTTGGAGAATTTTGAGTTACTGGTCCCAACTCTATCAGCACAATTTGAACCTAAGAACCAATGTGAGATGTATAGAGCAAAGGCCGAGTCTAGGATGAGAAAGAACAAAGGGTCACTGGTACATGTATCATTAGTACAGGATGTAAAGAGATTTGCTAGTCTGGGATACCCGACAGCACCAACAAAGGGTCGATAAAGTCTAGGGTATAGATACTTCAGAGGCGCATTGAATGACGAGGATATGGAATGGGCCATGTGTCAGGGTAGCGCGGAGAATAAAGATGAAGCATTACATCTGGCTCTCAAATTCGAGGCATTCAAGACAGGACGAAATAAGGGGAGGATAGAACGTCAAAACCTCCGACAGGTTGCAAAAGAAGATGATGGAGAAGAAACCTATGATGATACTAGAACAGTTGATGACAATTCAATTGAACCCTTAGCTAGGAAAGTAGACAACCTACAGAGACTAGTACAGATTTCCAGCAATGTCAAGAGCCATAAATGTCAGAGACGAGGACATATACCTTATTAATGTAAAACATGACGTGTCTGTTTTAAATGTGAAAAACCTGGCCATATTGCAGCCGAATGCAGGGAGACTAATGCAGAGTAATAATTACCAGACTCAAGAGAACAGCATATTGGAAGACAATGTATAATCAATCATTCGGGACTGCATGTTAACCAGTGTAAAAGAAGAGGATGTTGAAGGACATTGAGTAATCATTCATTAGTATGATAACCAATGTGAAAGAAGAGGATGTTGGAGAACATTGAGAAATCATTCATTACCAAGTATGTGTGAACCGATATAAAAGAAGAGGATGTTGGAGTAAATATTTGATA